CATAACCTTATAACTTTAACCTGAATATCGTGGAATATATGTTATTGTTATTGTCGATTAGTAACCACGTCTAGGATTAGTAATGTCTAGAAATGAATTACTGGAGCTGTATAAAAGTAACGTGGAAGAAATTAGAAAATATGCAAGTAACTGCAACATTAGTGATGAAGAAATAGATGGAATATTCCAAAATTGCCTTAAAAAAATATGCAAAAGACCCCATATTCATCAAAAGAATTCCTATAATTGTTACAAATGTGCGTCTTTTTTCATAAAAATAATATTCAGTATAATATTCCTTTCTGTGATCATATACATCACACTAAATGTTCATCAGGCTACATCCAGTATTGTACTACGAAATGTGCAATCATTTATTTATCCAGGACTTAAATTGCTACGTTTTTTATCTGTGCCTATTATAAGTAAATTTCCTTGGATGACAAGTTAAGTTCATCCACATATTTCACACACCTATAGTAATTAGCAGTGTTTTAGGCTTGTATGATGAATCATGTCTTGTTCACAATCCATTTTTCTTTGTAAACGACATGGAATGTTGGCCCTGTGAAAATGTCCACTCTGTTTTAGATATTACTGGAGTTCAAAACAAAAGTATCATAGAATCTGGTATTCCATATCTTGTTTTTGTAAGGTTTTTTATTGCATTTCTCAAACAGAAATAATTGTAATTTATAATTTTAGACAAATCAAAAGGTGGTGACATTTTCTGAATTACAAGCCATATATAATGCTCACAAGGAAATTTTTGATAGTAACGCTTATCAAATAAAATCCAGTAATTCTAGTATTGAAACCATTAGGGATCTTTTTTTCAATTATAGAGAAAGTACCATGGACTCAAAATTTCATGCAACATGGAGAATAAATAGAATGGCACCAGCTAAATTAATACGTAAAGTATTTCCAAGGCCCCAAGTAATCAATAGATGGTCTGGTCAAAGTATAGAAAGGTTCATTTTTATGGATGGTCCTCATACATCCAGTTACTTGTTCCCTAATCCTGAATGCAGTTATGTGTTTCTTATTCAAGGTTCTGGTAATAGAAATATTATTTTAAAACCTACCATGGAATGTTCACACTCTTGTAAAACAATATCAGTCATTTTGCATCAATCTCAAGTTTGTAAGTCATTTTTATTTAGAATTATAAAATTTATATTGAATGGAATAATATTGTTTCAGTGTGGTATAACTGGTGGTATTGGAGACCATTAAGTCTTCCAGTTAAAAATTCAACTGAGGTGTCAGTAACTTATATGAATTCTTACTGTTAAATATAACAGAAAGATTGAAATATTCAGCCTAATTTATCTATTTTACATTCTGATGACTTTATGAGTATTTGTAGTTTTTGAGATAAGCTATTTTTGATAATCATTAGTAAGAAATAAAAAAGAAATTGAGTGTTTATTCCTATTAGCTATTGGTGGGCAGGCAGTCCCTTTGCTATGCTTTAATGAAAAGCCAGAGGATGGAGTCTCCTTTTAGATATCATGGAAATGAATAAGTGGTAGTTGGGGAAAGACTGTTGGGATAGACGAAATGAAGATGGTAGAAATAAATGCATATCAGTAAAATATTACTACTGGTGACATTTCAAAAGCTAAGGTATTATCTGTACTAGAGACCTATGGACAAAGCCTCGCCGCTCAATATGAATGAAAATGAAATTAAGGATAAGTAAATTATAGTTAATCAGTTGGTTTTCTATTAATTTAATTATCATTTCATAAATAATGCAATCACGTTGGAAATTCCTAAATATACTATATCACAGCCAACAAATAAATATTTAAATTAAATTCGTCATGTTAGTTTTGCACTAAAAATATCTAGTTAATCTTTTAAGGAAATATATGGTCCATCTAATAGACACTAAGGCATAAGAACAACAAACAATTAAATAAATGCCGTAAATATTTACATTACATACATAACAAATTGCATGAATTGCTAATATTAGAATTCCACTTAATACGTTCACACTTTCTTTACATTCTGCCCAGTTTAGAGTTCCAATAAATTCACTGTACATTGTTTCTTCATAATGAATTAATATTCCATTACCTAGGCCGAATATAAGACAGAATATTATAATGATGTCGTTAGATAAACCCACAGTGGCTGCTGTGAAAAAATAACAATTACTTCATTACTTATTTGTTATTAATTTTGTATTCCTTACGTAATAAACTAAAATTGACTACTAATAAGCCCACTACGAAAATTACGTGTTTTTGTGTTTTGGATAAATTAGGAAACCAAGGAATAGCGAATAAATGAAATATCCACATTACAGAAATTGCTGATAAAACTATTGGACAATCCACAGCGGACAATATTAGATCTTCGTCTTTTTTGTTCTCCAGAAGAAGATATGGAATTGTAGTTACAAAAACTACAATTCCGAAAGTGATCAACGATTTAGTTATAAGCAATACGTAAAATTCTCTTAAACTAAAACAAAATCTCATTTTTTTCAGAATTTTTTCTTGGAGAAAACAGAATATTTCTTTCCTGCACCTCTTGTATTTATACTTTTGATAAGGTGAAAGATTAATAATGCTGCAGCACTTCATCCGATTTGCGTAACAATCTTCATTAATTATCGTTTTTGAATCTGAATCTACTAAGTAAATGTTATTTACTGATGATTTATTAATTTCGCGTACAGACAGAACGAGTGGTTCGGAAGTGTTCTCATCTTTTACGATAATTTCTTGTAACTTGTCGCTAAGTACACTCAATCGGTTAATGTGGCTATTTTCTTCATCTTCATCCGTTTCACTTTCTTCCGGTATTTGAGGCAAAACGTGGACACCCATTTCATTTTTAAAATCACCAAGTTGGGCTATCTCATCATCTTCACTTTCTTCATCCACTGAAAAATTATTACTACTACTACTACTATTATTTGATGAAGAGCTGGATGTTTCATTTGAGTCGAATTCAACAAATTTTTTTCTAGTAGGGGAACCTAAATCGATCATTTCTTGACTATTTATTAGTCTAAAATAAAAACATAAGATATACATTACGTTAAAATAAATATCGGCTTTTTAAGGCACAGCAAAACATTAAATATAGATTGTACAAACATTATTACCCCGGAATAGTCCTGTATCGAGATAGAATGCTATTAGATGAACCAAGTACATGATTGTCATCATTTTTAATTAAAATAATTGGTATAATGTGAAGTATTATCGCAGAATGAATTGTTTGCGCCTTAAATGATCCAACCCACGGTATAAGCAAGCCAATGAGATGAGGAAATACGAGTAAACTTATTGCTCTGGATGTTTGAGAAACAATTTCCATTATTTTTAAGTGCGACTGAAACTCAATTTCAGCTTCTAATTTTATTTGAGTTAATATAATACTTGTAGAAACACCTACAAAGAAGTTTTTAAACTTCTATGTATGCACATAGTAATTTTTAGATAACTTACCTCCAATTACACCATAATTTAAAATTTGTAATTTAACCCACGGCAGACTAAAAGAACAGATAAAAATTGAGAAAGTTAAAAGCAATGCCGCTATTAAACAAATAATCTGACTGTGTTCGTTTTTTCGACCTTTATGAATTAATTCGCTTATGGGATCTACAAATTAAAGGAAAATTTTAGTAAAACACTTTACAATATTCTTTCTTACTTGTTATAAACCAAACTGTAACAAAAGTTATTGGTGTCCACAATGCAAATTGGTACGATAATAATTCACCTCTAACAAACTCTGTGAGGTAGATTCCATAACTTAGAAATAAAGACGTTAATAAAAACTGAAATAAATAAATAATCAATTAAGAAATTGTGTTAACGTAATATGATCGTATTAATTTTAGTATCATAAAAATAGATGTATTTTTAATAGGGTGTTTCGTATTTTAATTGATAAAGATAAGTAACGACAAGAAAGGACCTTGACGGAAAGACTAAGACTTTACAGCCGTCGTTTTTTGAGCAGAGCTCAATATTTGGGTTCGATTGCCGAGGTCTAGGATCTAATGTTTCGCCCACTTTCTGTGGCTGGCATCCCAAGGAAGCAAGGATGTAAAATCCTTCGCTATGTTTCCTGATGATACCAACTACAGCAGTGAACAACTCCATCGATGCTCCCTGAAGGCAACCGAACCCTATACAACAGCCGTCAAGCCCGAATATCGAATTCTTTTAAAGAAGTATCATATTTCTTATAACGTTTCTTTTAAAAGCTTAAGCAATGGGTGACTTACCTCTCCTAATAATAATTTAATTGTAGAAACAAGAGGAAAATTCCAACTTTTAGTTGAATCAACACTGAAATCACATGATTCACTTGGATTTAAATTAATATGTAAACTAGTCCTTATTAAATCCATTTTTGTGGTAAACACTACAAAATTGAAATAAAAAACTACCTAAGCACGACGCTAAATAGGCGTATAAGATACAACTCGAGTTACATTAACGTTCTTATCTGTAAGACAGTAAAGATAAGATAAACAAAATTAAAGGTAGAAATTTAATTACAATCATAAATACCTACTAAACTATTTATTGTAATTTTATATGTAATTTAAAGTTGGAAATATTAGGGTGGATTCATTCATACATAAGTATTTAATAAACCCCTTATTAAATTAGTGCTTTATTTTTACCTAAATATTAGCTACAATTCCTTACTTTCTTTAAATTGAACTTAGTTTTTTACTCTTTAAAATACTACTTATGAAAAATTCTCCAGCTTTGTAAGAGCTTCGTACTAACGGGCCACTTGCAATGTACAGGAAACCCATTTCATTTCCTACATTTTCCCAATGTTTAAATTTGGTAGGTGTGACATATTCTACAACTTTTAAATGTCTCTTTGTAGGCTGCATATATTGACCTAAGGTGACACAATCCACCCCAGCATTCTTTAGATCTTTAAGAGTCTGTTCCACTTCAGCATCAGTCTCTCCCAAACCCAACATTATCGATGACTTTGTAATTATCTCTGGATTATGTTTTTTTGCATCTTCCAAAGTTGATAATGACTGCCTATTGAATACAATTAAAACATCAAAGGTGTTTATTATGTTGTTACTTCCATTTATACCTATATTTTGCCCTTCTGTCTCTCACAAAAGGAGTGAGACTTTCTACAGTTTCAATATTATGTGCATAAACATCTAATCCTGAGAGCGCAATTATTTTTACACATTCAGATTTTCCACTAAAATCAGGTACTAAGCATTCCACCATTATATTACCATTCCTAAAATTGCAATTAATTATAACCAAACTATATGGATACATATAGACATATCTGCTTACAGTTTCTTTAATTCTTTAACAGTACTGGCAAAATGGTTAGCTCCACCATCTGGCAAATCTACAAGGCAAATATTAACATAAATAGTATACTTGCTTTGTATTTTTTTTATTACTAATTTTAATAAGAGCCTACCCTTGTTTAATGAAATAAACATCATACAAATTGATACAAATAATTAGTGCTCACACTGAAATAATTACCATCTCTGTCTACAGATGTTAAAACAACATAATCCAAGGCCCATGAGGCAATAGCTGTAGCAGTATTCAATGGTTCATCAGGGTTTAGAGGTGGGGGAGCCCTTGATGTTTTTACTGAACAGAATCTGCAGCCTCTGGTACATGTATCACCCATCAGCTGAATTTTCAAACAGTTTGTTAATTTTAAGACCTTACTATAAATAACAAACCATTATTGTTGCTGTAGCTGTCCGATGCTCCCCTCCCCCCCAGCATTCACCAATGTTTGGACATCTAGCTTCTTCACAAACAGTGCTTAACTTTAACGACCTTAATTGTTCTTTTAAATGACTGTAGTTTGCTCCTTTTGGTATCTCAGTTTTCAGCCAAGGAGGTAAACGTAATCTCTCACTTTCCCCTTTTGCTCTACGAATTTTACCATCATAATGCTCCCATTCATCTGCCACATTTTCTGTTTCTTTTTTACTTAAAAATGAATCTAAAGCTGGACCTTTTTGGAGTCGTTTTCGGAATTTTTCTATACGACTTGGAGGTGTTGTATATTGCAATCGAATTAGCTAAAACGTATTCCGATAAATATACTGCATGTTTTCTGCAAAAAAATAAAACATTAATTTACCATTTTAAACGTTTTAATTTCGTTAAACATTTTTGAAAATCCTTATCACAGAAATATAGAATATCAAATAATTTAATTTCTTTTCATTAATTAAAATTATAGGTGCGATAGTCGATATAAACAACTGAGATTTTTTGTGATTATTACGTAATACAAAAATGACTGATAACACCACTAACAACAACACATTACAAATGCCAATTATCATGTATATTGGAGATATATATATATCTCTTATTCATAAAGGTTAGAGAGAAGGAGAACGATCGCTACGAAGCGTTACTCCGCCCATAGATAATAGATATACAAAGGTCAATAGATGGCTCACTTGAAACGTGCTACTAAATAAAAAAGGCGCGCACTTTAAATGTGTTAGTTACTTATTGTTTTTCGTAATGTGTAACTTAAAGTGAAAAATGGATAAGAAACAATGCAATTTTCCTTTTTTATAAAAGAAAACACAAAAGGAAATACATTGTTACTTGTCCATTTTTCCCCTTAACATAAGAACATGCGAATTTTTAAGTGTAAAAGTAATTATAATAATACTTAGATATACAAAGGGTCTGTCCCTGTAAATTTGTAGATTTTATAATTCAGTTTTCACGCTGGATCAGTAAAAATATCTGCGAAGTTAGGTGTTTGTAACTGAGTCCATAGTATTTGTACATATATAAATTTAAAATTAGATTAAAAACTAACAATTAAATTACTTTAAGAAATTTGTAAGTAATCGCTTACAGCCAAATGTTTAATGAACTTTAATGAATTACATAAACTTATACAATTGAGACAACTTAGTGATCGCAGTGCCTCACTTATTTTGTCATATGTCTAATCTATGCCACTTATAACGACTATTAATATGGAGTCCAATCTTCATATTGATATATGAGAAAATTTAATGAAATAGTAGAGGGCGCTACGGCTGGTTACGGTCGCTATAGGTTGAAGGGCATCAATTTGACTTAATGCTAATTTGCTGATTTATTCACAATTTATTCAGATCATGATCATAGACAATTATAGATAACCTTAGAAGTCGTGTGAATGTAGCACCCGATATACATAATCCTCTGTTTTAAACTTCACCAATAAATTGTGCGTCGTTTGCGGGTTTTAAATGTATAAGTATCATACTTATGCGTCCATGAGCTCTGTAAAAAAACAAAAATTGTTTTTGGTGCAAGTGGAAATTAAATGTCAATTTCTTCAAAAACTACTGAAGATATAATAATTTAATTGACACCAATTGTCATTTGTGCTTAAAGCTTGGCTCTTACGGTAAGCAAAATTTGTGTATGTATTATTTATTAGTAAAAATTGCATATAATATATAAAAAAAAAACTACTATTTTTCATTGATATTAGTAAAATGCATAGACATATAATAATGGACGTGCCTTAGCCGTATGTCGTTGTAATAATTTCTTGGCTGAAAAAGAGTGAGGGAGATGGCGTATGGTTTCGGACTAGTGCTATCTCTTTCATTAGACGCTTACGCACTATCGTGAGAGAAATGGATATTGTCCAAAACTTCGTTCCATCTCTTTCTTTTGTTGTACTACAGTTCTGACCGCTAAGGCATGTCCATTAGTATATATATATATATATATCTAAGTCATGATTCAACATTGATTTAGTGATTCAGTCCATTGATAAATTCAGTCATACTTAAGTCAGTCTATGGTTTCTGCATAATAACGTTAATATTAATACATGTATCTATTATATTGTGCGTCGTTTGCGGGTTCTAACTATAAATCATAAATGTGCGTCTATTAGTTCTGTTAAAAAAAAGGAAATTTAGTTTTCATCTGCACCCTACTGCACCAGAAACAATTTTCCTTTTTTTTAACAGAATTAATGGACGCACAATTATGATAGTTACATATTTAGAACCCGCAAACGACGCACAATTTGTTGGTAAAGTTCGAATAAGTGATTATTACAAGTACCAAATTAAAACGATTTCCTGTAATCACGTTAATATTGCAATATTGTTTACTTGTACATTTATTATAGCGATTAAAATGGACTACCTTCGGCTTCCCGTTTCCCATTTCCCGTCCTTCCTAATTCTGTTGGAACTTAGGTGATAGCCCACGACGACGACGAGGATTATACAACCAAACAAGATTTCCAGTTTGGTAACCACCTGCTGTAGCCTTGATATCGTAGTTTTCTTTAATCCTGTTACTAGCAATCTGCGTATGCAGACGAACCGACTCGTGGATATCGTTAAGCATTTCTCGGAGGTTGGTAACAATCTTCTCCAGCCAAGTCATCTCCTGGTTTACAGCCGAATTTGAGGTCAGAAGGTTGTCGTAACTCCCTTCCAAAAAGGATATTGGCAGGTGTTTGGCCAGTCGTTTCGTGGACAGATGAACGGTATGTCATTAAAAATAAAGGCAGTCCCAGTCCCGTGATCAGACTCTAACCGTTTTACCAACTGTTGATAATCCGCCAATTCTTCCGGGGAAAAGGTGTTCAAAATGCCACATGCCTCTCCACGAAGCGCAATGGTCAACGCAGTGGCATTTTAGTTGGCGCCCAGTTATTCGCCTTAGTAGCCGCTTCGAATTGCTTGTGGTATGTGGTCCAAGAGGACTTTCCGTCAAACGGTGGTTTTATTCGTGTTCTTGACTGTATACCGCTTCCTTGGCTGTTTGAGTTGAGTGTACTAGATGCGCCAACGTCCTCTTTCCATTAAAAATCAATTCTTCCAGCAATTTTATTTTCTCTTCTATTTTTACTATTTTTTTCCAATTTATTTTCCAAACTGTTACTGTTTTCTTCCAATTTATTTTCCAAACTTTTATTATTTTCTTCCAATTTTCCTTCCAATTTATTTTCCAAAATTTTACTGTTTTCTTCTTTCTCTTGGCGGCAGTCCACCAAACCCCACGGGAGCTACAGCCTATTCGCGTGGGAGTACATTGATAGTTCAGTCAAATGAAGGAAATGGCTGAAGAGTACTTTATAATGGAGAAAAAGATTGAAACAACGGTTATTTTATCGGAAATTTCGTGAGGAACACGAATATGTAAATGAAAATTATTTGCACGGCATAAGGGGGGAGAAAATCCGCAAAAACAATTGCAAATTCGATTATCTCGCTAAATATGAAATATATGAAAAAAAGTTTCAATAAAAGTTTTTCACAATGTCATTTTACAAAAAAGTATTGATGATTTCTTTCATATTTCTCATAGAACGAAAGTTCTGCGTGCCCAATGGCAAAGGGGCTTCAAAATTCGAAGGAAATTTTTAAAAATTCAAAATAATTATTAAATATTTAAAATTGATAATTTAATCGATTCGTAACTTATCTTAATCGGTTAAACTATCTTTTCAGATAAAAATTGTTTTTTTCTATTATTTCATTATTTTTTAAACAATTGAATATTTAAACCACCTGTTAAAAATTGTCCAAATGCGTTACTTTTTGCATCAAAATTTGCAGCAGCCTAAACGGAACAAATTCGCATTTTTGTATTTATTAACGGTAATGAGATACATTCAATTAACTAAAAGTCAGAAATCTTATATTCCTACGGCACTGGCATAGACAGAGAGCGGTAGATATCGCTGTTTCACTCGCATCCATATGAAACGTGCGCACGCACCGATACTGTAGATTTGAATGTGCGAGTGGGACAGCACGCGCTACCTGTTAGAGTAAAAGGAATAGGAAAGATGAGAGAAAAAGAAAGAGAGGGGTTTACAATGGTGCCCAAGCGCCTGACGAAAAGACCCCTATTGTAAACGAGGGTAATAAAATCCTGAATTCATTTCGAAGGATTTCTTGGTGGCCCACCAAAAACTTAGAGTAGATTCAACTTTTCTGCGTGGGGGTACGTGTAAGTGGATGGCACCAAACGTTGCCTAAGCATGTTATACGACGTTTTATGGTACATTTTCGAATGCATTTCGATAGATCTCTTGACGGCAGTTCACCAAAAATTCGTGGTATAAAATTTATGGCACTTTCCTGAGTGTATTTCTGTGGGTCTCTTTGGGGTAGTCCACCAGAAACGCGGGGTAGCTACAGCCTTTCCGCGTGGACTTATATTGAGATAGTACCAAAACTAGTTTTAGCAAGTTATACGACGTATTATAACACTTTCCTGAATGTCTACTAAAAGCTCGTGGTAGCTACAGCCTTTCTGCGTAGGTGTACATTGAAATGAAAGGTATCAATTCTCTATAGAATTGTATATTAATAAATTCATAAACATAGAAATAATCGCTTAAATATCTTCAAATAATAGAAGAATACGATTTATTTAGTGCGTATTTTTTTTAATGGTAATATTCGAAGAGCACACTGCAAAAATAATGAGGAGTCACTTAGTGAGTTAAAAACAGGAAAAATATTTTTATACATGAAATTCATCGACTTTGCAAAGTTTTTGCAGATGTTCAGCGTTTTCCTCATAGACACTAAATTTTATTACCTTTGTTGGTGTATTGTAATAGCATTAAGTTTGTTTTTGATATCGCTATCCCTACCCAACAACGTGACCCTCATCGTTTTTGAAGTGTAGTCCTCATTTTGTTTAATGTCGGGACATTAAGCTTATGACTCGTGTATAAACGTATTTAGCAGCATCAATTCCATAAACGTAATCCAAATGATTCCATTTAGGATCTGGATTTAAGAATTTCCCTTTAAAGTTGGGTAATAATTTTTCTAATTTTAAAACGTCGGTTTCAGCAGACATCCAATCATTTGTACTGTAGAAAAAGTATACGGGGGTTGTGACCTTTTTAAGATCATAATTCGGGGGTTTTGTTGAACCATACGATGCTTTGTTACCAAGTAAACCTTTATCATATCTACGAAAACGACCTGTAACAAAAGAAAAGTTTACTACTTACACTGATTAGCACAAGAGCATATACATTTAATTACAATTTATGTTAATAAAAATAATGGACATAAAAAAACGGTTAGACTTTTACCAGAATTAATTTCTTGACCATAGTGTACTAATTGTCTTGTAGATGATCCGGCGGGAGTATGAGCTACTAATATTGGCAATAAAGTTGCATTCATCTGTTTACGGCTAAAGCCACAAAGGGCAAAAAGAGCATCTTTGCACAAAAATTGAGTTATTGCATCATCAGCGCAAAATTGGATGGCAAAATTACTCAATAATTCACTACTGGGTAAAAATTCATAAACCCCAACAAGGTCCAGGAAATTCTAAACAAAAGAAAATGAGTAACATGATTAATCTGTTATACTGTTTTCAGAAATTGACTTACTTGTAAAGGACGGTCAACTAAAGCGGCCATACGAAGCATGGGGCTGACCAAATGGTTCATATAAACGACAGGTGATAAGCTGAAATGAGCTCGAATCTTGGCATTGTATTCAGGTCTCGAAGAAGCCATCACATAAAACGAAGTTGTTCCTTGGGAATGTCCTATATGGAATATTTTGTCTTGTTTCGTTTCTTCCAAGACATAGTCAATCATAGCAGGAAGATCGTAATAACCGATTTCATGCCAGCTAAAATTCCAAAAGTCTTCCTTATCTTCTTTGATATCTAGATTTACATGATTTCGACAATTTGTATTGCCTCTAGCATTTCCTAACCAAACGTCGTATCCTTTGTCTGCCAATAAATATGCTAAAACGAAAAGGATATCATTTTAACAAATTTGCCGCAGCTTAATAAATCATTTACCGAGTCCTTTGTCAACTCCGGAAATAATCCAATCTGCTGATGATGACAATAATCCATGCATGACAAAAACTGCTGGTCTGTTTTCTGATGGGCCACTTCTTCCATAAGGAATTCTGTGCAAAGTCAAAATGTAGCCATCTTCTGTCGTAACGGTATGTGTTTCAACAGGGAAACCTCTTGCTTGCACCATTTCCTCCTGTTTTAACGACAAATAATGTTTTTTTAAACTTTATTTTAACTAATAGACAAATTGGCAATTACTTACAAAGGTACGATTGACATCAGCCCATTCTGCACCTGGTGGAGCTACATCTTCTATAGTTTCCTTTCTATCCCTTACCATTGAAGGATAACTGTCCTGTACCCATGAAAAGTCAGTGAAATCTACGTTGTCTTTGTAAGTGTCACCGCCGTAGCAGTGTCCTACTAAGAGAACAACGAAAATAGCAATCACTGGAAAGGCCATATCGAATGTCGAAATCAAAAATCCAGTCCCTTATTATATATACCTTACCCGTTTCAGTGATTTATCATCTATCAGCTTTACTTGTTGAAAATAGCAGGTGTCGCAATTTTTTTTTTTTTTTTATTTTGAAGAACTTGTTGATTTCACGCCTACGTTTGACGTAATGTAATCAATTTTGTATCAAAACAATCAGATACGGAAATATATTATTTAAACTGGAAAATACATTATACAGCTATTTAGTTAAACAATTTTAAATTTTAGTAAAAGACGCGACGCCGAAGATAATTTTGTAGTAATATCATAAAGAGAGCGTGTTTGTATGATTGTTGTACATATATGTATATGTATGAAAGGCTTGAAAATTACTAGGCCAATTTTAAAACTAATTTCACTCTTACAATGTTATTTGGAAAGAAATAGTACTACTAGTTTCGAATATATACAACGTAAATATTACGATCATTATACTCATGCAGTGAATACTTTGGGATAAGTAAATATTTTAATAGGGAAGTAGGATTTCATATATCTTCTTAACCAAGAAGGTAATTTAACTTTTAGTAGATGTTATTGCTTTAAAAAATAATTTATACAAAACGTTAAACAATACTTCTTCTACTATCCAATAGCATTTCTTTATTATCTGCGAGTTATCAGTAAATATTTATTTAACATGAAGACACTTTTTAAATTAATGTGTGGATTTACGGATTACCTACTCTTTGATCGAAACTGCACAGTTTATTTCATTGCATTGTTTATGATAGATTAATGCTTGATATTGTACTATCGATCAATAATATTCATTGATTATCATTTTTGATTGAAATGAACAGGTAGGTATGTATTTGTATATGTCTCTATTGCTATGCCTGTTTTGTATACTAAATAAGTATGCACACACAAACGCGACTTAATCAATAAGAAGCAAATCAAATTGATCTGTAGAAATATAAAGTATAGATATATCGTCGAGTGCTATTGTTAAATGTTTCCTTTTAAGAAAGATCTAGACAAATAATGTTTTAATTTACGCAGAGTGTAAGATTCAAACTCAACCGCTTTTATGTGNCGAATAATAGCGAGCCTGGTGTTAGACTAATTTTATTCGATTCTTTACAAGCTATAATAAGAAGCAAATCAAATTGATCTGTAGAAATATAAAGTATAGATATATCGTCGAGTGCTATTGTTAAATGTTTCCTTTTAAGAAAGATCTAGACAAATAATGTTTTAATTTACGCAGAGTGTAAGATTCAAACTCAACCGCTTTTATGTGGTGTTTTGAGAGTTTTTTAACTTAAACCGTATTCTACCTTATCTTATAATTTTTAATGATTGACAAGCAAAACAATTCACTAATATGAAAAACATTTCGTTCTACAATTTCTTATTTACATGAAAATTTTATTATGATTGTACCAATAAACAATGAATATTACTTGAAACGAGATAAAACAAGAAAATCGATAATCATTATCTGAGCAACTTTAACTTTGAATCTCTTGTCCTTTGGTCTGATTGGATGTTGAAAGTAGATATTATCTTAATACTAATGATGCAATTCGTAAAGACTTTCTATTGATACATTCTGCAGACAAAAATAGCATTCCTCGTATGCATTTCATTTTCCCTCAACTTTTTGGAAATTTTGAGCAATTTCTGCGAATTTTGTAGTGTAATTTTGTTTGTTTAAATGAGTCTTATACTGGTACCAAAAAAGTTACTTTTATGCTCGAGATTTGTTTGGAAAATTTGAAAATTTGAAAACAATTTTTAACGGCTCTATTGGCGTGAAACATAAGCAATAGCACTGTGAAAAACAAAACTTTCGAAGCGATTGAGATGTGGTGTTTTACGAGGATGTTAAAAAAGCCGTGAATAGGAAAGGTTTGGTTAGGTGGACATATTACCCCCCTCGAAGAGGTACCAGACCTTCAAGCAGATAGGGGTCAACAATGTTCCTTTTCTCACAGAATTGAACAAATCAGTCGTTGCACATCGGGGGAAAAGAAACAACCAACGGCGATGGCTCAGAGGACCGTGGAATGTCAAGTAAGCGGCCGGCGGGGTTCTACTGCCTGAGATACCCACACCGCGCGTGGTTCAACCCCGCCTTAAAGTTGTAGGGGTACCGGCCCCTAAAGTTGGAAAAAATTGATACCAGGTTAAATGAATCTAGCCGTGGTAGGGAAGGGTGGCCGGGCCTGCCACTCCAATCGAAACCGTCGTGAGGTGAGGCCTGGATCTACGAGGACCGGAACAGTGATAGTGACCACTTTCTTGGTGGTGAACTGGGCCGAGGTGGTATTGGGTGGAACTGGCCGAGTGCAAGGTGATAAGGGTAGTGAGGAGACGAATGACTCAAAAACTGAAGGTAGGAAAGTGTAGGAGCACCAAAACTAAAAGGACACCTAAATCGAGATCTCTATCGGAGGGAGACACTGACCTGCGGGAGATACCACGAAGAGGCATCTTCGCGAAAATCATCGAGGATACGACGAAGAATGTGGTGATAACATTGGAGGATTTGGAAATGTCAACTATCACAGGTAAGGAGGACCGCTGGACTGTATCATATAAGAAGAAAAGAAGGCGGGGATTCCCAGAATCAATAGACTCATTGGATGTAACACCCAAACGTAAGGAGAATCCCATAACTGAAAAATTACCTAGCTATATTAATGCTGTAATCAAGAAAGTCAATAAGCTCATGAAAATATTTTAACTAACGTTAAACAGGGTATAAGGTATGCCTCCCATGGATTAGAGCTTCTGTGTAGGAAACCCCAAACGGAGAGAATTATAAAACGGTAGAAGGAGAGTAGGTGGAAAAAGAGAGAAGCAATAAAGAAGAAGTGTGCAACCCAGACAGAGGCGGACACCAACACAGAAGTGACGTCTCAGGGAACAGAGTTGGGCGAAGAAGATATCGTCACCGCAATATGTGTCGAGAAGATCGAGTCAGTTCTCCAAAATCCGTGAAGAACGTATGAGGACTTCATGGAGATAAAAGATGAAGAAGACTGATAGCAGAACTGCTTCAAAACCTCCAAGCTGATCGACAGACTCGAAATAAGTATTGAGGATACCACAAATACCCTGATAATACTGAACACGAGTTGATTAGACCGGGAAAGCTGCCTACACACGCAATGGAGAAATAAGGAGGACGCTACGGGCCAAGCCAAACAAAGCTACAGTGGCGTATGCAATTCGTTCAAACAAAATCTTCCTTCCAGGATTCCGCATAAGTAGGAGAAGAAAAAACCAACTCATCTAGTTGAGCATAGAGTCGCGGTGCCCTGCGATGGGGAGGCACTGCATGAGAAGCTGAAGTATGCTTGGGGGGTAATGACCAGAAGACACGACACCCAGTTCCAGTTGGAAACTATAGGTTTTCCCAATGGAACAGTGATCAGATGAATTTTGGAATTCGTCGGTAGAGGAGGTAGTGGAGGTCTATATTAGGAACCCTGTTGGCGAAAAGGAGAGTACAAGGGAGAAATGGGAATTCTGAAAAAAGAGAGCCCCGCGAACGACGTTTATAATTAGCGAAAAGACCTTCAGAAAAGACGCTACCTATGCTAGTGTCCTCTGAAGAGTAAGAATTGAGATTGACATGACAAACGTTGAAGCCGAGGAGCCAAAGCCATTAGAATCTCCAAACCGGTAAGAGGTGATGTAATGATTCCGATAATGGACATGAAGAAGGGGGTTCGATCTGATGAGGGAAGTAGGGTGTGTCTTAGGCTACCCCAAAGTTATTACGAAAACATCGCCAAAAAGGACGTTACTCATAAAGGACGTCGACACGGTCATCACCCCGGAGTAGATGGACCAGGCATTGGAGAGGACTCTCTTTACAGAGAAGGCCGAGAAATGGACGCTTCAAGGTACGTCAACTGAGTTGGGCAGCAGAGATAAACCACGAATATTTACGCTTGTTATTGACAAGCAGAGGGGTCTGGAGCTTCTCCAAAAAAAAGTGTATGAGAATAGGATGGAAGTCCTTAGTACAATTCCGGCCTTTTCTCATATAAAGGGGGATTGATAGCAGGTAATTTTAGTTTTAGGCATCGGAAGGGTCGCTTTGAATACTACGTTTCGATACTCAACCGACTGCTTATACTACACATTTGGCTATCGCGTGATGTTGCTAGCCTCGGATATTAGTATGGAATTAGCCTTAATAGGCTAACATTTTAAAAAATGGATAAGTATACATCTGAAGCACACCTGTTTCATTTCACTAAGATCCACTACTGCCTGATTATATATTGACTGTTCTCCGTCGCTCCGCCCGTCGAGTATCTGTTTGACTGTTGCCTGTTTATACAATTATCAAATTTTCCTGATTATTTTCTGATTTTTCTGGAAATAGAAACAGAAAACATTAGTTTAATGCGGTTGTTGATGATCAACGAAGCTACGGGTAAAATCAAGTTCGTAGATAAATATTACTGTAACCTAATTACTATAATATAATTTTTATGGGCAGTTTTTGCAGATACGAGATAATTCTTTTACTGATGAACGAAGCACACAGGTGAACTATTTTTTGATAAAAATTTGTACTTGTTTTTTCCTTTTTAGTAAGTATATTATTATATTTTATTGTTAAATAGAAGTTTTTTCTTAACATTTTTTTGTTATGTAATTTTATTAACTTCCTAGTGGGAAGTTATAGTAAGTTTTATTTATCTCCCCGTTTCAAGGTCACTAGAGTCGAATGCTCCAGTTTTTAAGT